ACTAGAATGAGGTCAAATCAGGAAATGCAGATAATAATAATTGAAAAAGCTAAAACCTGAAGGATAACAATTAAAATACAGTCAGACTAAACAAACGGAGGAACGCGTGACTCTAATTCTCTCTCTGTTTCCTTTCAGCGTCGCTCTGGCCTCGTTGTGAGTGTTGACCTCTGACCTCCTCGCTCCCCCTCGCAGAGCTGCCGACTGAGAGGTCGGCGCTGACGTTGGGAGTTGCTAAGTTTGGAGCGATGAGGCCAACTCAGCACACAGCTATTTTTAATGAGGCCACACACACACACACACACAGCAGCTTTAACCCACTTACTAAATATATAATATATATAAATAAAAGCTGATATATTTATATATATGATGATATTCTTGTTGCAGCCTCTCACGTCTCCTGCAGAACTAAACCTCCCTCGCGTGATTATAAAGACAGTTTCAACAGAAGCTGTGGGGATGTGACAGAAACAGGGAGCGGCCATGTTTTGCAACTCAACGCACCAGAGATTAACACTTCCGGGCTCCGGCCAGCGTCTACTTCCGGTTTCTCTTCCGGTCTGAAAATGCGTCACGACTGACGTCGGAGTCCAGCGCGCGAGAGCAAACACAGAGGGGCATTGTGCTGTAAAAGTCGGGGGGTCGAACCCGGAAAAACTTTCCAACTGGTTCCCTTAATGAGCATAAAGAGACAGGTGGGTTTTTAATGCTGCTCGGACTCGCAGGAGGTTCGAACCCCTCGAACTCACGAGGTTCTAATGGACCCCCCCTCCCCCCCCTCTGTTCTGTGTTGTGGCCCAACGCGGGAAGAGTCCAGATGTGAACCGAACTTTTTTTTTTTCTTCCCCCAAACGAGGCTCGAACGTTGCGACACCGAGAGTTGCACCGAGGAGCCAAAGTCCAAAAACGGGAAGCGAACCCACGGCTGCGACACGTCGGGCTTTCAATGGCCCCCGCGCCTCGTGCTGGATTTAAACCCTGAGTTCCCTCGGTTTTTTAAAAAAGGGCGTGAGTTTTTTAAAATGGATGAACCGGTGGAGAGCTCGAACCACCGACATGTACGATGAGCCACATCAGCATTCACCCCCCCCCCCCACCGGCCGGGCAAACAAGCGCCCTCCCCGGCTGACAGGCCCCCAGAGCCCGGGTAGAAAACACTTCACCTCCACATGTCTCCACCGACTGACTCCATGTTCTCCATCTTTTCAAAAAAAAAAAAAAAAAAGTGTCGTGTGCTCGAGGTTCACGAGACAGAAAGTTTTCACGCGCTGCCCGGAGGCCATTAAAAGTTCAGGCGAAGAAGAAGAAGAAGTTTGTGACGAACTTTAACAAGAACTCAGTCGAGAACACGAAGAAGAAGAAGATCATTATTCTTATTATTATGAGTGTTGGATGTAGAAAGTCTCTGGAAGCAGCTGGAGTTTGTTTGTTGGACAACGACTGGTTCCACACGTTAGTTATAATAATTATAATTATAATAATAATAATAAGAAGAAGATGGGACTCACCATGGTGCAGGTTTAAATTCTCCTTTCTGTGCAGACGAAGTGGAAACACTGAGTTCTCACAGGTCACTGTAAAGAGATCTCTGTGAGCGAAGGCCCCCCCCCACGGGCGCACTCCGCTTTTATACATGCCACAGGGGGGCGGGGGGGAGAGGGGAGGAGCCACAGACAGCTGCAACCCCCCCCCCTTTCTATTTTTAAATATGAAATAACTCTTCAGAATAAATGATCACGAAAGTTCATGCACTGAAGTATTCTACAAACCAAGACAGAGATCAGGGACGGGAGAGAACAACAGAAAGAAAAAAAAAAGAAAAAGAGGAAGAACGACAAACAGGAGGAGGAACAACAGAAAAAGAAGAACGACAAGAGGAGCAAGAAGAACAAGAAAAAGTGGAGCAAGAATTAATACGAGGGGGCGGCAAGAAGAGAGAGAATATCAAGAAGAGGAAGAAGAAAGTGGAAGAATGACAAGAGAAAGGATGACAAAGATTTAAAAAAGAAGAGGAAGCACAAGAGCAACAAGTATTTGTATTATCTTCGGCCTGACTCATCATCAAGTTCATGTAGAAAATATATTTTTTTTAAAATCTAATAATCAAAGAATAATAACTTGAACTCACACTGAAAAGTTTCACTTGAAGTTTTCCTGAATTTAATCTCCACAGCTCCTGATCCCCCGACGCTGTGATGCAGGGAACAGCCACTGGATGGCGTCCTCACTTCAGTGACTCACTGACGACTCTGGACCCTCAGGGGCCCTGAAGCCCCCACCCCCACCCCCACCCCCGTCAGTGTCTTTACGTCTTTTTAATTACCTGCAAATTAGATCCTGTACCGACATATCAAACTATAACTCTGCTACTAACTTCACATTCACGTCACATTTTAGTCCCAAGAAGAGTTTAAAGGGATTTTAACCCCAAATCAGATTTTCCCTCATTGCACCTTTATTTTATAAAACACGTAAACAAGTGCTTGTGTAGTTCAGTTCTGTCATAAATGTTTTCCTCCTCCTCGCTCTCCGTGATTCTCTCCTGTCCATCACTCTTTACAGAAATGCGGAGCCGACCCAGGAGCCGTCAGATGCCTGAGCTCCTCGCTCCGGGACTCCAGCTCTGAATGTAAACGCCGCCATAATCCTCAAACGTCCGCAGGAGCCCAGAGCTTCATCCCCTCAACTGCTCATTCCTCTTCATACACGCCTCCAAACGTCTTCTTTCTTTTTTTATATACGAGAGGAGAGATAGTTTGCGATAGAGGGATAACGGAGATCTTTTTCATGTGCTGTGATTCGTCCTCCTCCCCTCGGAGGTCCACAGATTACTTTTCTTTTACGGCCCGAAAACTATTTTAGTGTTTTGCTACTTTTTCTTTGCGGCGGCTCGCGAGAGAACGTGCGTCTCAAATCATTCAGTCACTTGATTTTCTCCTTCCTCAGAAGTATTATGACATTTTAAATTATACATTAGTTCAACTTCGTGAACTTTAAAATGTCTACATTCAAATTCAACAAGTGGGTTTTTATTGTGAAATCACAGCTCTGACATTTGACCTGTCGACAGGAAACGACGGATCGCAGCAGGCGGAGCTGTCGTTATTGTGATGAGTGACCGAACAGAAGAAACCAAAACAAGTGAGAAAGTTCATTTTGTCTCTTAAATCATAGTTTGCGTGACACATGTAAACTTCTTGTATTTTCAGACCATGTTACTCAGAATCAGCTCAGAACTTTACCTCAAACAAAAAGAGACGGAGACGTTGGTCTTTCTGCAACATGTTCACACAGAGACGACTTCTGTTTCTCCTGCAGAGTTTACGAGACGACGCAGAGGACGCCGTTGGACAAGTCTGCAGAAGATGGAGCGGGTATGTAAACAGAGTGCGGATGAGCACGTTCTTAAATGCATGTAAATCTCTTCCAAATCACTGAAGTGGGATATTTCAGGTGCTCGATGAACCGCAGGAAATCCTGTGGATTTATTCTGTCCTTTGTCTCTGGGCTGAAATAATCCAGCGCTCTGATTCAAGTGGTCAGACGACTGTTAATTTCATTTCTCGAGACTCCCCGGGCGACTTCCCCTCACGTGTCACTAACTCTAATCCCCCCAATTATTTCCACGACGAGAAGATTTAGAGCAAGTGTTTTATCAACCTGACAAAACACTCATCTGTACTCCGACGAGACTTTGAAGCATGTTTTCTCTTCGTGGACAGTAATCGTTGCTTTGTGTCTCCTTTTTTTTTTATCACGTTGTGTCTTTTCTCTAATGTTTGTGTCTAGTTTTGGTAGTCGAGTCTATTTAAATCGTAAAACTTCATATCTGTTTGGATATTTTGGATAATTTGAAGCCTGTTTTCAGGGATTTTCCGTCGTGTTGTGGTGATTTAGCGTCTTCTCTTGGTTGTCGTGTGTCTCTTTGGTATTTTCGTGTCAGATTTGTGTTGGGTCTGTTGAAGCAGTAATGTTGCATCTCTTTTTAATCACTTTAAAGCATCAGACCTTGCATAGAGGCTTCGTCTCACACCTGACCTCTCGGACGCCTGCTCCCATTTAATTATCCATGCACGGATGCGATGAGGATGTGGGTGTTGATGAAAATTCATATTTGATATTAATATTTGAATGAATCAAATATCTGTAGCATCATGTGCGCTCTAAAAGAATCCAGCAAATGAAATAAGTGACAATTAAAGAGACTTATTGACTCATAGAGATCAGATATTGACAGGAAGCAAAAACATTTGAGTTCCTATCACATAGATTTCCTATAAGTTGGTTTGTTATTTATAATTACAGCTGTAGATGAACATCAGTGATCTATAATAATGATCAGTAATGGATTACATGTTCAGAGTAACT